TCAGGCCTCTGAGTGTATGCACACACACGGGCACATGCATCTGCGTATAAATGTGCACACACATGTAAGCAAGTCATATGTGTATATATGTGTATATGTACACACACACACACACACACACATAAATAAAAGTTTTGACTGTGTCATCTCTACTCACAGTGAAAAGATTCATGCCTGGACACTTAAAGAAGAATACCAAGAGTTGGATTATTTGATGAGGGTTTAGGAAATTACCAGAAGTCCTGGAACGCTACAGCTGGGGAGATGGGGAATGCTGGTTTTTCTCTCTCCACACAGACACTGTGGGACGGATGAGTCTAGAAGGAAGTGTCAAGTGAGTCTGCCACCTAGCAACACTGCTAGCCATGAGGGAGGCTAGGCGGTATGGCAGGATGTGGGCTTTGCCATTCACCAGACTGGAGCTTTGTCTCAGCTGCCTGACCTTAGCCCTTCCTGTAGCTGCTTCCTCAACTGTGAAATGAGTTTACTTCACAGGGTCACCACGAGAACGACAAGGTGGATAGGATATGAAGGGTGTGGGGCAGGAGCTCAGACCTGGCTCCAGGACTGCTTAGCTTTAGTTGTCGTTGTTGCTGACACCTTTCGCACTCACCAGATTTTTTTGGGTGTCTGACCCCAGGGGCAGAGTAGCCAAGGAAACAGTGACATCAAAATTATGTACATGAACTTGGCTCAGAGGAGAGGGCTTGAACGTCCTATGTGTCCTCCTAAAGTCAGGGCTCACCCCATTTGCCAACATTTTAGGGTACCCTGTATCAAAGTGTGACCTCTCATTCTCAAAGATGAGTGATATTCCTTTAAGGAGAGGCTCTCTGCACTGTGTATAGTTTCATTCTTGACATTTGAAAAGAACCAGAGAAGAGCTTTGAAAGTTCATCCAAAAGAGGATGATGCATTGGCAGTTGTAAGGTCTCATCAGCTGTTGTTTTGAGATGGGTAACTTGCCTTCCTGAGGGCAAAGGATCCAGAAGGTAAACTGTGGACAGTGATTCTAGTCTTAAGCCTTCATACAACTATGGAAAAACAAACAGAAAACTGCTCTCCAGTGTGGGGTGATTTTTGGCTGCATCCTATTGGCTGCCTTGATGTAGGGAGGCAGTGGGAGTCCCAAGTCCTGGAGAGCTGCAGGCAAGACTGCCTCTTGAGGCTCAGGACTGGGAGGCAGGTGAGGGAGTCCTCACCTGTAGCTTAGGGACCATCTGCCTCCTCGGGTTTCCCAGGTGATGAGCAACACTATATTGGCACAGCTCCCACCAGGTTGGCTGATATCTGGGAAGACCTTTGATACACTGGAGATATTTTTCTGCTAGACCAAGTTGGGGGTGGGTGGGTGTAGGGTTAAATAGTTGCCAGTATGCCCAAAGAGAGCAATGACTTTCTGTGTACAGTTAAACCATGTTAGAAAGTTTTCAGATCCAAGTTGGCCAACTGCCTGCCCCTGATTCCCACTGGACCTGCAGGAAAGCTCTAGAAAACAAACCCTTCCATGCACGGAATACTGGATATCATGTGAAATTCCTTTGCGCTGAGAAGCAGAGAAAGCCAGCATTGAGGCCCAAGGCATCTTGACTTGAGTCTGGTTTCTTTCACTGTCACTCCAGGGATCCAATTAATTATTTTAACAAGGTTCCAAATGCCTTGGAATGTATCCTAAGTGCCTCAAAGTTTATGCCGGTTGCTTGTCCCATTGAGTGGCTCACACCAAGTACTGAAAAAATATAAGTAAAATAAAAGCAAAACAAAACAGAAAAACCAGGTTTGGGGGACTGGGATGTGACTCAATACTCAGGAACACTTCTTGTGGACCTGGGTTTGGTTCTTGGCTCACAATAGTCTATAACTCCAGTTCCAGGGGATCTGACACCCTCTTCTAACCTTCGAGTGCTCCTGCACACCTGTGGTACACCCACACACCTTTGGGCATGTGTGCATGCACACACACACATACACACACGCACACACACACACACATCTAAAACAGGTTTTCCACACCTAAGTGATTAGCTGAAACTGCAATTATGCTTTTTCTTTCCTCCACAAATGATCTAAAACTAAAAAAGGAAGTCATTATGAAGTTAGATATCTTTCTCATAGCAATAAAAAGGGGTGGCTAAAGCTCTCTACGGAATAAAATGGACTCCCACTGCTACCAAATTTTCCCCCCAAAAATATAGATATCTGGGCACTGGATTAATACAGCATCACATAGTCATCATTTCCAGAATGATGCTGGTGGCTGAGATGAGGCAGTTCTAGGTTCTAGTCTCTCCTGGGTGGGGTCAGTGGCAGCAGACATGGAGGCGGTGGACATGAGAAGGGACAAGTGAAAACCGACAGGCAGCGGGAAGCCTCCTCACAGACCCAAGGCCCTGAAGCCAGCATCCTGCCTAGAGGGGCACTGCTGTTTCCCTGTCAGTGGGAACAGGGCATGGGTGACAGAACCTTAGGGCAAGGGCACAGAGCAATGAACCCTGAGCCCATGCAGTCCCAGGAAAGAGCAGCTTGCTTTGTTGAGAGTGAGGGGACAGGCAACTCTAGTGTTGTCATGGGGCAGGACAAGGCCAACTGCACACTTTGTGAGCTTTTCATGGGGGCTTTTAAGTCTCACGGGAGCGAAAGAGCTCCCGTCCAGACCGTGCAACTTCTGTGAAGTGGTCCACATCACACTGTGTGTCTCAAACACAAATGCTTCCAGGGGAAACAGAACACGGTATGGCTGAAGTGGTCGGCTAGTCTACCTGGAGTACCTCAGCGAGGGCATCCTGTACAAGGCCCTTTCTCAGCAGTGCAATTCTAAATGTTCTTCACACCAATTGCACCTGTCTTTCCTTTTCTCAAAGACTTCATACCAACCAATGCATCTTGAAAGTCAGAGGTGTAAACCTGAGTGCTTGGTAAGTGCAAGCAGGTTTATTTATTAGTTTTAATGTATAGAACAATGTGAGGTCAAACAAACAACCTTTCCCTGCTCAGCCCCCCCCCCAATCAAAAAGACAAAAAGCCACAACAAAAACTCCAGATGATGAGGATAATAATAATAATAACAAAAACTGGAAACCAAACCAACCAAACGAACAACAACAACAAAAAAAAAAACCAGACCCAAATGAAACCCAAACAACATCAAACTCCTGTAGGACATTCAAGGAAAGGAGTCTACCTTGACAGCTGCTAAAGCCGAAAAGTTCTGCTGCAGAGGGGACATTAAAATCATGGTCTGTGATGGCAGATGCAGAGATGCTAGGCTGTTTGAAGTGCTGAGACAAAGTGCCGTGACTGCTCAGCCCCAAGCAAGTCATTTATAGCATCCATTCTAAGGTCCATGGATTATTTAGGAAGAGGGGGCAGAAAGAATGGGATAGAGGGCTGGGCTAGGGTTTAGCCAGTAAAATCTCTTCTTGCCTGTAAGCCAGATGACCTGCATTCAACCCCCAGGACTCACATGGTGTAAGAAGAGAGAACCAACTCCCAAACCTCCCCATGTGCATGGTGACATGTATGTGTGGGCACAAGTACATTGGTGCTAGGCCTACACTAGAGTCAGTCATGGAGGGGGAGGTTCTCAGGGGGGTTCACTCCTCAAATGACGACCCATGGTGAGGTTAGATAAATGCCCTGGCTAAATTCAGTGGCTCACAAAACAAACAAGACATGAATCTGGGAGAGAATTAAAAGGAGGGAAGTTGCCCGGAAGAGAGCCTGTGTGGTTGAGAATAATCGGAATGCTTTATATGTACATATATTGTCAAAGAACAAACTAAATGAAAAATTATGTCTGCTTCCACACCCTTCTTTTTGAGTCTCCTTGAACAAACTGGTCTAAATTGCAGATTCCCTGCCCCTCCCTGCAATTATGTGAACTTCCCAGGAGCAAGGCAAATGCTTACAGCAGTTTGCTCATTATTTTAGATACACTTATACAGTTAGCAGGCCTGTAATCCCAGTATTCAGGATGCTGAGGCAGGGGAATGAAGCATTCAAGGCCAACATGGGCTATAGAGTGCAATTCTGTCTCAAGGAAGAAACGACCCAGGGGCAAGATGGCTCAGTTGATAAAGGCACTTGCTGCCAAGTCCCCTGACTGGAGTTTGATGCCTTTGACCTACATAGTGGGAAGAGATAACCAAGACTAGCAAACTGTCCTCTGATCTCCACACATTTGCCTTGCTATGTGCACAGGCACAGCAAAATTAATTAATACAATGTAATTTAGAAAGGAGATTAAAAACATATCAAAGAATCTTTAGGCCATCACTGCTGTTTGCTGGTGGGATTAGAGATGAAGAAGGGCGACTACATTCCGCATTCCAGACAAAACTGACCTGTCTTGTGCCACCAGGGGAAAAGGGAAGTGCACACTTGTGGGTATGGCTTGTTAGAGATCCCCCAGGGCCGGAGAAAGGGGAATCTTTCAGAATGTCTATCCCTAGGAGGGGGGATGTCACCTGGCCCTCTGAGGTCACATGGTGTTGGATGTTAGGGAAGGACAACTAAACCATGCTACTCCAGTCTAACATAGAATGATAAAGGTCAATTTGCAACTGAGGAGGAATAGGGATCCCCTCCCCATCCCCCATGGGTCCAGATAGCAGACACTTTCCTTTCTTTTACCAGTGACCTTTAAATTGAAGTAGGAAAGGCTTTCCGGGCAACACCTTCTAGAAGGAAGCCAGCACCATGGAAGAGGGCAGAAGGTAAAGTGACTATAAACAAGAGGGTCAGGTGGAGGCTTGTGTCACAAACTGCCTGGCTTGGCCAGCTGGGAGTTTCAAAACCAGACTTTCTGAGTGACGAAGAGGACTTGGTTATCCTCGGCACCAGCAAACAATACTGTCTTTTTAATTTCTTCCCTAGGCACGGCCAGGAGCCCAGCACATTGCAAGGTCTAATGGGATGGTCTGCCTGTTGGAGCTTTGCTAACCCGCTGTGGATGGGGATAGGAAACTGTGTGCAACCACACGTTCCCTTGGCTGTTTTACCTGCCGTAGGCGAAACGTCTGTCTTTGTGGTGATCTCCGAAAGTGTCCCAAAGCCTGAGAGAAATGCTCACTTCATCCACGACATCCCTGGACCGCTCCAGGACCTGCAGGGGGCAGAAGAGTGTGAGAGAGGGGCATGGAAGGGAGGGAGTGTGGTGGTGGTGGTGGTGGTGGTGGTGGTGGTGGTGGTGGTGGTGGTGGTGGTGGTGGTGTGTGTGTGTGTGTGTGTGTGTGTGTGTGTGTGTGTGTGTGTGTAAGGAGGTGAATAGAGGGGTAGGGGGTGGTATGCTCAAGTGTTCCTCAGGAGCATTCATTCCTCAGGCCCTTCCACCATCTAGTAGAACACAAGACAATTCCTAATTCACCTTCCCCATCACATGACTCAGACTTCCTTTGGTATACCATAGCCACACCCTCAAGTTTGTACTTTGTTTTTTGTTTTGTTGTTGTTTTTTTTATGGTGCCGGACAGGTCACTTCTGTTTTAGATGTGCATTGTAGCAACTTGTCTCCTTTATTTTTAATCAGACTCCCTGCCTCCCCCTCCCTCCCTTCCTTCCTGTTTTTCTTCCTCTAGCCGAAGCTAACCTTGAATTTCTTCATCCTCCTGCCTCATCTTCTTGAACACTGGGATTAGAGGCCTGGGCCACTGTGCCAGGCAAACTACCATTAGATTCAGCTTTCTGTTTGTTCTTGAGGCAGGATCTCAAAGAGATCAGGCTAGCCTGCAACTGGCTATGTAGCTGAGGATAAACCTTACCTCTTGGCAGACACGGTACTGGTCAATGGCCCACACAGTGGGCACATGAGTGGCCAGCAGCTGGTACTGGGTCAGTGTGGTGTTGCATGCCCGAGCACAGATCAGGCGAGTCTTCCCCACGGCATTGTCACCCACAACCACACACTTGATGGTTTCAACGTTGGGTCGTTCGTAGTCCATGTCCGTGTCCATTTATAAAGCCCTGTCATAAGATGGTGGATGCCACATTAGAGAGACCAGGGCTTTCCAGAGCAGCTCACAAAAGTTTGCCTTTGTTCAGCCATGTCCTTGGAGGTGTCTGAGCACAGGCAAGGAGTTTGGAAGTGAAACTCAAGCTTTCTTTTTATATCTCACACTAGAACAAAAACTCCACACTGTTATTTTGACCCTGAACAGTTTATTCCGGTGAACGTGTTATTTTCTCCTTGGTTTTCTCTAAACATAACCTGCCTACTGCAGACCCGTCCAGGCACTGCTGGCATGCAATCATACTCCCCAGCCACACATGCTGACCAGCTAGTGAATCTTGTTATCTATAGGGTTGAGCTCTCTGACACCTGGCCCTTGGCTGCCCAAGAAATATTATCATTCACCCTGCCACATTCTTTAAACTATGCAATGTCTGGTATTGAGATGTCACAGGCCAGTTCATAATGGCTAAGGTGGCCTAGATGAGAGCCAAAGCCTAGGTGAAAAACCGCCTGACATGAGTGAACAGGAAAACTCCAGGTTGAATTATGATCTACTAATGCAATTAACTCATATCCATTCGTTCACTGTTTATAGTGACCGGACTGACACGACAGAGTATTTATTCTCAAGGGGGCTCACCAAGCCTACCTATGCAAAAGCATTCTCTCCCCGCTCAGTGTTTTCATCAACAAATCTGGAACATAGGCTAGAAGCAGACACTACCAGGAAGGCAAAGCATGTAAAACTTCCCTGAAATACTAGAGAGGTTAAAAGATGATTACAGAGCCATTGTGGTGGTGGCTCACACTCTCAATCCTGGCTTTTGGCATGCCAAGGCAGTAGGGGTATAACTTCCAGGCTAGCCTGGGCTATGTATCCATGTCATGTCTCAATGAAACAAAATACTCGAACAAACCAAAAGAGCAGGGTTTCAAGAGAAAGAGGAAGAGAAACTTCTGTAACAGCCATTTTTTTTTTTTTTTTGGAGCGAGGTCCTCCACCACACAACACAAAGCAGTTGCCTTACTGCAGGCAGCTTACAGGACGCTGTCAATGTCAACGAATCATAACTTGTCTCTTGAGGAGGTCTAACCTGAGCAAATGGGTTGGATGGTCATTTTGAGAGTTGGCAGTGGTCTGACGAATGTTCAGAGAAAAGTCTTTTATTTAACTGGTACCCAGGAGAGCTGAAACTGACTCGAGGGAAGCCATACTTAGGGTAATAAAGACAGACAGGGGTGGAGGGTTTGTCCAAGGCACAGACTGCCTTGTCACTGTCAGGCCTGGACTGAAGGTGAAGTAGTACTGAAGTACCATCAGTCACCCACAGTGATGAAGGCATCGTCACAGGCAGCTGTGAAACCCGAGGCTGGACGGACAATGGTGGCAGGAAGGATTTGAGGGGTAGATGTGTGGTTTGGGTAGGATTTGACCTGTGGTTTGTATAGCACGAAGAGGCTGAAAATAGCTTCTTTTTGAAGAAAAAAAAAAGCCATCTTGAGCATGAAAATAAACATCTAACCCAGATGATCAGCCAGGTGTGATGGCTCCTGCAACTGATCTCTTTAGCGTTCTGTCTTATAATTCTATGGTTTTATTTCCTTGAGTACCATAGAACAATGTGCTAGAAGCATGGATTTGGCATTGGATGGATTATTTTTCAATGCATGCCCCCTAGAGAATATCACCTACGTCTAGATACAAAAGATAAAACTGCTAAATGTACCCAATGGTTGGGACAGACACATGATTAAGAAATTGTGTCAGCCCGGAGACTGAACTGATAAGCCTAAATGCGTCTGCCCTAGGCCCTCTGCATATGTTATGGCTGTACAGCTTGGTCTTCTTGTGGGACTCCTAACAGTGGGAGCAGTGGCTGCCTCTGATTCTTTTGCCTGCTTGAGGGACCTTTTCCTTCTACTGGGTTGCCTCATCCAGCCTTGATAGGAGGTTTTGTGCCTGGTCTTACCTCTTTCTTGTTACGCCATGTTTGGTTATTATCTCTGGGAGGCCTGCTCTTTTCTGAAACAAAGGAGGAGAGGATTTGCAGATGGGAGGTGTGGGGGTCAGGGAGGTGGGACTAGGAGAGGAGGGAGAAGAAACTGTAATATAGGAGAGAAGTATAAATTGAAAAAGAATTATACGACCTAATTTTCAAAGTGGTGAGGGTCAATCTAGGTGCCTCAGATGGAGTGAGTTTGAGTCCAAGTTGCCCCTTCCTGTCCCTTGACCCTGGGTGGGGTTTACTTCCTGGGCCTCATTATTTTCACCTGGTTAGACGGGAACCACTGAAAAACCCACCTCCTACAGTCAGTGAGAGAGTTGGGTACTCTGATGGTTAAGTTCTGGGGGGTCGTCTGTGACTCCGTGACCAGGAAGATGGAAACTTTCAGAGGACAACACAACAGAGTGAGTCAGGAAGCCAGTAAGAGCTAAATTCACAAAGTTAACACAGACAGAGACCTCCCCAACGGATGAATTTTATAAGGGCTAGCTCAAGGAGAACTCACTAGAGACAGAAGAAAATCAATGCAACACGAGGAATAGCTGACCTGACCCAAGGAATCCAGAAGGAATTGAAAGCATAGCGCTTGTTTGACAACATCCTGGTGATGTTGCCAAAGGGGTGGGAACGAGCCAGTGAACTGGCTTCATTTGGGACCCCACAACTTTGAAACTGAGCTACATTTGCCTCGAATATTCTAAGCAGTAAGACAATCTCAGTCTTTGCTGGGGGGGGGGGGGTTGGTTGTTTTGAAAGACAGACGGTTTGGAAGAATGCTTGAATTTAGGAACAAGTAAGATAAGAAGTTAGGTTTTTTTTTTTTTTTGGTCCATCAGCAAACTAGCTCTGGCAGCAGATTCTGAAGAGTAGCTCCCAAGTCACTCTGGTGAAATAAATAACCATGTCATTTTACCTATACCTTTGAGGTGATCAGAAACCTTTCATGTTTCATATGTAGGCTCTGTGGTGATTTGATTAGAAATGGTGCCCATAGACTCATGTGTGCAAATGCTTGGCCCATAGAGAGTGGCACTGTTAGGAGGTGTGGTCTTGTTAGAATAGCTGTGGCCTTGTTAGAGGAAGTGTGTTGCTGTGGCTATGGGCTTTGAGGTCTCATATATGCTCAAGCTAAGCCCAGTGTGAAAATTTCCTTCTACTGCCTGTGGATTAAGGTGTAGAACTCTCAGCCACCTCTCCAGCACCATGTCTGCCTACAGGCTACCATGTTTCCTGCCATGATGATAAAGAACTAAACCTCTGAAACTGTAAGCCACACCCAATAAAATGTTTCTTTTGTAAGAGTTGCTGTGTAATGGTGTTTCTTCACAGCAATAGAAATCCTAACTAAGACAGGCTCTAACACAAAAATTGCCCTCATTTTTAGGACATATTTATGACATATTATGGAAGAAAACCATAACAACTGGGTGTCAAAGGCGAAAATAACAGCCACAGGGGTTCTAAACCCAGCAATCTACTTAGGATCAGAGTATACTGACTAATATCAACAGAAGGAGATCGTGGATGAAGGACAGTAATTGGCAGCGTGGGACTCTCTGCTCACAGTGAACTTGGCTGCCGAGGTGGAGTACTGCCTAACTCCCTCACACTCTCAATATTTCATCCAGCATAAACATTTCTTTTCCTGTGTATACAACGACCCAAAAAGTATTGCAAGAATTTAAAGCTATAGACAGAGAGGCGAAGTCAGGCCTTCCCAGTGTCCCAGCAAATCAGTGTTCACAAGTTGTCATGTCACACATAAGAAAGCAAACACTTAGTCCTGGAAGCGATTGCAAAAACAAGCAATTCCATCCTTTTCTGCTTGTAAGGGGCTTCACTTTATTCACATCTGCATGCCCATGGCTAAGTGAGTTCTTAAGACCATCTGGGTGAGCATCGTCTGCTTTCTCATTTTTATTTACAACGGGAATGATAAATGCTATCCGTTGAACAGGGCTACTACATGTCTCCATCATAAATCCCACTCATCTGTGGGAACACTCTTTTGCCTTCAGATAGATACCCGAGGAGACAGGGAGTCAGTGGTGGGAGCTATAAACTGACTTGTTACTGCATTTCTTACTTGAACAGATTTGGGGGACATGGAAGCTAAGGGTTAAAATATGCCTTGGAACATCAATCACCCTGTCTGGATGTCAGAAATGATGACTCTGGGATTTTACAATGGGCACGTAAGCAGGCAGATTTGGCAGCTGGGGGTTGAAGAACTAGAGGAAGTGGTTCTGGGTGCTGAGTGTCCATTGCTGCATGTTGCAGTCATGGTTCTCATAGTCTCCAGAACCATGTCCTTGGTGTGACCATCCCAGACTTTCCCTGGTGTTACTATCATGGCCTGGCCCACAGGACATTGCTCTTCATTTGCCACCGTCTCTGCTCTGAGCCACAGGATCAGGCATTCTATGTCCCAGCCTTGTAGCTTCCTCTCCATGGCACTTTTCACACTTAAACCACTCATCCCTTTGGCTGAGTTTTGGGTATTGCTGTCACCAGGAATACCTTACCTCTCTAATATCAAATGTCAGGTTGCAACACTCTATGCAGTCTTTAATGCCAACACCTCATGGAGTGAGACAAGTACAGCAGTCCCCAACATTAGGGGCAATCTACATTTCCCTTTCCTCTCCAACTCTGGCTAGCCTTACTGTCAGATGAGTTCAAGCTCCTTGGTCCTGCAGTTCCACAACTGTGCTGCTGGGACACTGTCCTGAACATACTAGCTAAGGCTGCTGGCCCAGCTGAGCAGAGAGCCCAAGGACCATCAAAAAACCATCCTGTGGTGGCTGTTCCCAAGGTTATGCAGATCTTCCAGCTTCACTGGCTGGAAGTAGTCTTATGAACAAGCTACAGAAGGCCAACAGGGAAAGCATCTTCTTGTTGGGAAAACAGCAAGCTTCTGGGGAGGTTTGCATGTTATGAAAATCTTCAAAACTGATGGGAGATGTTATTCTGTAAATATGTTTCTCTTACTGGTTAATGAATAA